TCCGCAGAGAGGAAAAATTGTTTTTTTTTTTTTTTTTTTTTTTTTTTCCTTCCATAAAACTTGAGTAATTTAAAATCTATTAATCTTTAAACTAACAAACTTAAAAATTAATCTTTAAACAACAAAAGGGTTTTCTACCTCTTGGTCACTTGGCACATCAGTCTGCGTAAAGAATTCAACCACTGCATACAGGAAGCCAAGATCTAATCTGAGATCCATCTCTTGAATCAGGACCTTAAAATACCTACGCATGAAACAGAAAGCAATTGTTAAGGTGTTCTACAAAAATATGTAATAACCTAGGGTATTTAGGCCACTTATGTATTGATCAGTTTTCAGATTTCAGTGGACTTTTTGGCTGTTTTTTTTTTTTTTTTGAGGGATTTGCCATTGCTGGTGATGAGAAGGCTTCCCACACTGGTGTACAACAAACACATTTCCTGTAAACAGAACTGTTTAATCACGTAGCATTTAACACTACATACCACCATGAAAAATATTTTCCTAAATTAAAGACTAAAAGGGTCCTTCAGAAAGACACTTTAAAATCCTAGGATTTTAAGACACTTAAATCCTTTCTTTATTCTGCAATTATATGAATAAAGAGGCCTGACTTTTTATCTCTTCAAATGCTTTGATTTTCCAAGAACGACGTGGTGTAAAATTATCTTGCATTATATTTGCCCCTATAATTTTAATTTTAAAGCTTGATTAAACACTACTAATAGCAAAAGAGATGGAACATGTCAGAATACTTACTTAATATGAGATATTTGTGAATGTCCTGCAGTTCTCATGACAATACTGACATCAGTAAATGGTTTTGGTGCTATGAAGTTGTAAAATAAAAAGAGATCAGCATAGATTTTCTGATGATGTGCATAGCTTTATAGTTTCTAATATGAAAATGTCATATATGTTCAGGATTTTTTCAATCCTGTACAGTAAGATTACATAATGGATATGACTGACAAACAACTAAGTTAGGGAAAAGAGCAGGAGCAGAAAGGAATAGGAGGACAATGATGAAATGGAACATTAAAATCCTATTTCACTGATCTCTGAAAATGTACCATTTTAATTTAAAAGCAGATCAAGGTTGATATTATCGTAGGCTTCTATTATTTCCCTAGTAATGGAACAAGATTTTTCCAATAGCTGATACAAAAATATAAACTAAATTTAAAAAGAACTCTGCAGATTTATGCACTGTAGTGTGAAATTGATTATATTTAGAACAAATACGTGACATCTTTTTAGCTTCTGTACAAAATTACACACAGCATTCTTTGTCTCAATCCAGAATCCCTCCTGAGGTTACTCTGGTCTTCCAAGTGACTTTGCCCTGAACAAGTCAATGGAAGACTGCAGTTCATAACATAATATACTGACATTAAGGTCTACACTCCAAGCAATGTAGAAGCTGGGAGGCTACATTCAAAACAGGCAAAATCTTATTTGCCATCTACTTAACTTATAAATGGTGCCTCACATATCACTTTTGAGATTAGACTGGCACTGGCATACGTTTCTTTTCTGTATTTATTTCAGATAGGTCACTTTGTCATCTGTCACATGCAAGCAAAGAAAAAAAATAAGCAATATGGTTATGCTAATTTGGGGCTGTAAGCAAAAAATCAGATGACTAAAGATGGAAAGTGAATCCTTGCTGCCCCTGAACTTCAAATGCAAGTAATACAGAAATGGTGCACAGATTCACTACCAGCAAGACAAGCAACAATTTGATCTTTTCTTATTTTCAGCAGGCAACTCTTCTTGTAGCATTAATTTTTAGTTGTGGTGTGAATGCAATTGCCAAAAGCCCATTTTAAGCTTTATCCAAATGTAACTTTCATGTTATGCTCTGCCAGGGCACCGAACAAGTGTGTCAAAAAGACGTGCTTAAAAGGTTTAGTATTGACAGATGGAAGAAATTTTGTTTTCTTCTGACTGTTAACTGTTTTAATAGTTTTCTATATAACTTCTTTGCAGATAAAACAGTTTCCCTATCACTAACATCGGTATTTGTGTTACCTGTAGTCAAAAAGCTTAAACAGATGTCATCTGATAAAAGTGACATGGTTAACTTCAGTACAAGCAATTTGTTTTGTCATTTTAGAAGTAAGGATTACGTTAAACTAGAACAACAAACCTGAATCCAAGGTGATGGACTTTGGAGGTTTAATAGGATAGAACACAAAGGGAAATATGGCTCCAGGAATCTGGTTTTGTATCTAATAGGGGTAAGGACAGGACAAGGTGCAGCATGTTAGCTTTTCAATAGTGAAGTATTTTAAAATTAGGAAAAACACAAGAATTATGAACATCACATTTCACCAATTCAAAAGCAGAGAAAAGTGCTGCTATTATAGTTCAAATTATCTGAATTTTCAAAATGAAATAATTCAACCCAAATAGTCTAGAAAAACTTCTCTAAGTTGGAGGTAATAAACTGTTCACTGCATTTTTGCCAAGTATTTTTTTTAAGAACTTGAACATATACAAAACAATAAACTGTACCCAGATTTGTTGGGTATAAACAAAAGTCACAAGAAAAAGCATGGAAGATGAATGGTAAATGTTTTTCCTGAAACCTATTGTTGTCTTTTTGGTTTATTTGTGTGGTTTGTTTGTTTGTTTTTTTCTGTTGTTGTAGTGGTGGTGGTGTTTCATTTTGTTTTTCCCCAGAAGCATCTAGGTAGTGTTTCCAAAGACCAGGAAGCACTGATGTAAATGCTAATGAGTATAGTTAAATTTAAAATATGGCACATACCAACAATTCTATAACCACATCAAGCTCCTGTAGAAGTTGCTTTTTTAAAATAAATTACTGTTTCTTGACAAGACTCACCTGTATCCTGTAAATTTGAATTCTGAAAGACTTCTGATGTGCAGATGAACTGTATTCTACTTTTAAAGCTGGGAGATAATTTCTTCTGATAGGAATCTCATTTGGTTGTTGAATTTTCATGTTCATTCCATTAGGAGTTAAGCATACCTAATGTATTATTAAAGAAAATTTGGTATTCTATGTGTTTCAAAGGACTGCTTTTTATAATACTTTAAAATTTACACTGGTCATTAACATTAAAACAAGAGCTTAGCAGTAAAAATTTTGGAGCTCTTAAGTCGGATGTCCAAATTTTATTTAAAAGAATCAAATTTTGCCATAAATTTAAACAGAAGTAAACCACAAAGTATTCCATTATTTGGAGGATTACTAGTGTTTAATACATGGCTTTCTAGAGGAAAGGAAGAGCAATACAATATAATGGTCTACAACTAAGATAAAAATTGGCTTCTTTACCTACACTATGTTCCTTTACCTACAACACAATTCTAATGAATATCTAGAACATATCTAGAGGCAAAGACAGCAGCATCTGGAGTATAATGTGCTTCTATACTTATGCTCCAGCATAATTTCTGGAATGATCCTTTATATGTATGTGTGCGAGCAACACAATTAAATTATCTGGTAATGGAATTGAAAAATACAAGCTTTTGTGCTCTAACAAACCAACAAACCAATGCAAAGCTAACACCCTTCCCACCTCCCCAGTATAACAAAACAACCAAATGTAAAACTTCTTCACTGTGGCTTCATGTAGATTTTGTCCAATGACCTGCAAAAATGTTACACTTCAATTGGAAATAAGAGGCTAACAACAAAAAGCCAATATGAAGCTTTAAAACATTTACGGATATTTTCTAAAGATTTTTTTTTCTACACAAGAGATAAAGAAAACGTTTCAAAAGAGTTACGTAAATCAGTTATCTCAATTTCCACTGGAATTTTCTTCAAAGACAGAAAAACTGATACATTATCTTTTTTCTTGTGTATACACGTAAACAATAAAATTAGCGAACTATCAGTATTACCAAAACATTTGATTCCAACTCAACAATCTTATTTTCTGAAGGTGTCAGCTCACTGTATTCTTTAAATTCTTGTTCTAATTTATCAGTCTGCTTAACACTCATTGGTCTCCATCTCGACTTCTTCTTGGGTTTTGTCTCCCAAACCACATCAGAACTTTGAAAACAAAACAGAGGACCAAAAAAGAAGGATTAGCTATTTTGAAAGAAGTTTCTCCTAAAGTAGTATGGCTTTTAAATGTTATAATTATGGAATGATTATAACATACTATATATTTTTTATATATGTAATTACATT